TTGATTCGTATGGGTGCAATGAAATTTAGGGCGGAGGGGATTAGTTACTTGCAAATCAAGAAAAGGGGAGGAGGGATCCTAGATCGATTAGGATATCAAAGAATTACGTAATTTGACGCGCGTTCGAAAATAATTATCAATATATGAGAAATAAGAGAATAAGAGAGCTAATTTTCACGATATATCACTATCGTCTATATTAGATTTATTTTCAAAATATTTCGATAATATATATATATACAGAAAAAGATCATAATAAAATTAAGATGAAGCTCACGATATCTTTATATATATATCAGTCATTTTTCTTTTCAAAAATTATATATAAAGAGCTCGTCGGATCTTTTCAATAAAATTCGTTAAAGATCAGATTCTCTCGGGTCCCTTCAACGAGATTCGATGAAACTAGAAATCTATCAAAATAGGCCTCATATCCTTAAATTAAAAAATTGAACGACCGTAAGATATGATTTTCTCAATAAAATTAGAAAGTTTTCAAAATAATTCGACATCACGAATCAATATTCCCTAGGGCTAAAATCCCCCCCCTCCCAAAGCAAATTTTTATATCTTTTCTATATGAAATATCTTATATATCTATCCTAATTGATATAATATTTATATTCCGAAAATGAATTTCGATTCCATATAAAATCGGTTATTCGAATATCAAATAATAATAATAATGAGATTAATTATCCCACTTTCATAAGAAATATTTTCATATATATATATATATCAAATTTCAAAATATATTTCAAGAATATATTTATATTTAGAGATGTAGAAAAGTACTATTCTATACACGAAACCCCCAAATTCGGCGGAATCCAACCAATAATCTTCCCCAAATTAAAAAAGAGACGAATATAAAGACCTCGGCCCCGAGGCAAGATATCTATATTAACGACCAATAGAAGCAAAAGAAAGTACGGAATATATATATATATCTTACCGATATATATTTTCATCGTATATAAAATCTTTCTCTCCCAATAAAATACGTACCAGATTCCGAAATAATCACCGAAAAAGTTATTACCTCATCGTCATTGAAGTATAATTGAATTTTGTTTGTACATATATACATGCCAAAGAAGTGTATATATTTTACGCATTCAAGTCAATATATTTCTCTCCATTGGTTTTCCACGCCGCCGTGGATCCGGACGTATGCTGCTGCTATCGAATTCATTTTCCATGACGGAAAATGCGGTAGCAGGATATCTTAAACTTGTCTGACCATGCCTTTGGCATCAGCCTAACAATAAGAGAAGCACTGAGTGCCAAGATCGCTGTTTTAACGAAACAGCTCACATGAAGCACAGAGTTGTTACAGTGGGCCGCTTTATATGTGTGACGTCGACCCCCCAGAAAATTTTTAAATGGCGCAACTTCTTCACCAACTAAACCATCAGTGCTTGCCATGGTACCCTGCATGCTCAAAGTCGGAGCATTCCAGAGATTTCCGGTTAAACCCCAAACCCTTTGTAGCACCCGGAAGTAAGGTCTGAGGGTTAGGGTTAGGGCAGAGTAAGCAAAGTGTCAGAACCCTTACAGTAGAAGCCGGAAAGTTGGAATATCATGATCATAATCTTTTTGAAGTAAATTATAGGGGATCCTGCCATTATTCCATATTCCAACTTTCTGGAGTTCCCTTTATACCGTAAAAGTGTAATCCTCATATCATCTGCGATGCAATTGGAACGACGAGCCCGGATCTGAGAAATTATAGGATCGTTAAGGGGGGGGGGTTCAAGGGGGGAGGGTACTAGGGAGCTTTGGGGAACCTTAGGGAAGCTTAGGGAGTATTGGGGAATAATGGGGATTACTAGGTTACCTACCCCCCTTGGACCACCCCCCCTTAAGGACATCCTAAAGAAAGCAGCAGCTCAACAGAATTTGAAGCCCTCAGGGGTTTAGGGTTTAGGGTGTCTTCTGCCGTAAAGCTTGGCTTGAGCTGTAGGAGGGATTCAGGGGCATAGGGTTTAGGGCTTGGTTGTAGCTTTGAACTCCAAGCTACAGGCCCAACACAAAAGGAGCTCAGATTCTACTGCGCAATCTGCACGAATCCTTCCAACATCCTCTTTCGCCGACTCTGGGAAGACCCGCTGGACTAGGGCGTTAGGGTGTAGGTCTTGGTTGTGGTGTAGTCCGGTGCAGTGCCTTGGACCCGAACACCAATCATACACCCTTAGATTTGCATGTGGACTGTCATCAAAGATGGCGGCTATAGTGCACCTTCAAGCGTCCATGGCCCTCAGTCGTGCCAACCCGCGCGGCCTCTTTACCTGCCAGCGGTAGCACGGCCGGAATCGAAACATCATGAATGGCGGTACTACAAAAAGTGCTACTGATGGCATGGCGAGACTGCTGTTCGGAAGTGGCCCAAAACCTGTAAAGGGCTATTATTCTACATACTCTGATTCCCTGAGGCACTGAACAATGAACCCTGGGCCAAACCTCCGAACTCAACTTCCAGCACCCAAAAACTCCAGACCAAAACCCTAAACTTCAAACCAAATCCCTGTAAGTTTCCTGAACCTACACCCCTAAAACCCTAAATCCACCGACCACTCCTACCTTGTCCTGAAACAACTCGCTTTCAAGAACCCCACGCGATGATCTTCCCTCCTCTCGCCTGCGGCTGCGCGAGGTGTGCTGCCTCCCACACTTCTGGCTTGAACTTCATGTCGGAGGCAATAGGGACGTTTGCAGTTGATGTCGCCAAGAACAGACAAAAGAACACCAAACCAGAAACTGAACCCAACAATCCTAAAATATCAGGATGACGGCCAGGATATGGGCCGTGATCTGTGCCCTTACGTGCAGGGGGTCTCGGGTGTTTCCCAATCGGAGTTCAACTTGGGGTTTGGGGCAGGCTCTGGAATGTCAGGGTTTCTTACTTCCCAGAAACCCCAGGGCTTAAAAGTTCAAACTTCCAGAATAAGACTACCTCATAAGAGCCCAATTCTTGAAAGTTGGATTTTGGACCAATGAGGTTTAAGCTCGAGTGTGCCGGCCTGGTTGTGAAGAAAGGCCACGTGCTGCAAGCCTCGCGACGCGACCTGGGGCAGGATAGGGCTTATAGGGTTAAGACTATATATTACTTTACATCAGATCATATTAAGTTTAGGCGTTGATCATGACCGATTATATCATAGTATGTTGAAATTAACCTGAGGGTTTGACAACTGGAGTTTGTCCTGGTAGTCGCTTTGCAACTTAGAGACTTAGAGTCAAAACCTTAGACCCTAAGCCCTCAACCTTAAGCCCTAGACCTTCAACCCTCAACCTCAACCATTCTGTCCATAACTCCAGATCTTCTTCTTCTAATAAGGAGCCCCCAAATAGTACGTATTGGGTACTTATTTAAGCCCCCATACTACCGAGATTTTGCAGGTTGAAGTTGCGAGGATACACGAGAGGCATGAGGCATAGGACCGTCGGGTACCTCAAGCTCTATCCATTACACAACTCCTTACCGCCTCCCCCCCTCCACCCGGCGCACACTACCCTAAACCCTAAACCCTAAACCCTCAAGAAAGTGATAAATGGAAATTGCTTGTTTGTGTTTGTAACCACCGCTACGACCCATCATTTCGGTTAAAAACGGAACTAGCTTCTTGATAAACCAATTTCGCACAACTACAACCTCAACTTGACACTCAGCAGCACACCGGTTAAAAGCGGAACAAGCTTCTTGATAAACCAATTTCGCACAACTTCAACCTCTAATTCAACCCAGCCAGGGCTCACCCCAGCCCAGCCCAGCTCAGCCCACGCCCCACGCCCCAAATCCCCCAGGCGTCCCAATTCCAGTCCCCACACCCCAAATCCCCAATTCCGGGCCCCCAAGGCCCCAAATCCCCAACTCCAGTCGAATCCCGCCCCTGTCATTTTTGCCCTTTGCCGCCTCCTCCCGTCGGAATCTGGCTTTAGGTTTTCTCGAGGTTTCCGGCTGGTTGCTTGTTTGCTTGGATTCCAATGTGTCCGTCCCATGACCTGATGTGTCATGACACAACACGACGAAACATGACGGGGTGCGTGGTTGTCGTCCGTCAGTGCGATTAACAATCACTCGACTCAGCCATCCATCCACCCCATCCATCCATGCACCCAACAACATGATCCATCCAGTTTCAGCCAGTATCAGCCAATATCATCCAGTCTCAGCCACTATCAGCCAGAATCACCTAGTACCATGCATGAATCATACAGCATCACCATGTCAGCCAGTATCACCCAGTTTCAGCCACTACAAGCCAGGATCAACCAGTATCAGCCAGCATCATCCAGAATCAGCCAATGTCAGCCAGGCTCAGCCAGTATCAGACAGCATGAGCCAGGATCCAAATTGTTGAAAGGCAGATACTGCAAGCTTCCACTCGAAAGGCACAACTTTCAGCAGCGAATGTTGAGGAGAGCCGAAATGTTTCCAAAACACCGAAACATTGACGGAGAATGGATGGAATGAGGAACGGAGGCATCCAGCATTGATTTTAAGATTCTGCAGCAATTAGTCACCAGTTCATTGTCAAGTCCAATGCTCAGATTCAAAGATATTATACTTGATTGTTGCAGTCTTAGGTTCTGGTTTGTAAACCAGCATTCCAGGCTTCCAGCCCGGGGGTAGGAGACCCGCCCCCACACCAGTCCCAAACCAACCCCCCCCAGGCCCCAACCCCAGTTCCAAAAGCGCGGCCAACCCCAACACCAGTTTCAAACTATGGTTCCAAAAAAAAAAAAGGTTTCGCTCAAAACTTTCGGTCAAACCGTTTCGGTCAAAACGTTATTGGGACCCAAACCCTTAACCCATGTATTTGGCGTAGGGGAACTTCTTTGGCACGTCGAGCACCTCGCCGCAAGGAGGTTTTCCAGCATGGCAAGTTGAGCATTTTTCAGGAATGGATCTTACGAAATAACGGCCAGGCTACGTTGTGAGCGAGGACACTGAACACCAATGCGGCGTTCAGTGCCTCCTCATCGCGGGGCTGGGCACCCAACGTCGCGCGATGCGACAAACCGTCCACTTTGCCTGCAGCTCCCTTCGCGAGGCAGGTTCTTGCGAAGTTCAGATACTCGTGGCCTCGACAGCAAGGGCAAACATCGACAAAAGGATACAGGTCACGTTTTTTTGCACTGTGAAACATGTCGCCATATGTTAAGCGAGGCGCAGCGATCCTCGAGAGACTCGTATTCAGGCCATGGCGTCTTTGTGCGATCCAATTCGGATAAAGCCTTCCCGCGGAGCTCCTGCGGCGAGGTGGTCCGCCGCAAGCTCAGGCTAACACTGCAATGCCGTGATCCAATATCCTTCCAGGGCAGCCCGTCCACAAACTCCGCTGTCAGGCGCAGGAAGCTGACCAGGGCAAGCCAGAAACTGACAAATGTCATGTCTCCGTCATAATCGCCTGACAGGCACTTGCGGAGTCTGCCAACATTCAACATCTTATCCAGTCTTGTCTGCAAGCGACAACTCATCGCAAGCTCCAGCCTCCCCCTGTCATTTTTGCCCTTTGCCGCCTCCTCCCGTCGGAATCTGGCTTTAGGTTTTCTCGAGGTTTCCGGCTGGTTGTTTGTTTGCTTGGATTCCAATGTGTCCGTCCCATGACCTGATGTGTCATGACACAACACGACAGTACAACACGACGAGACATGACGGGGTGCGTGGTTGTCGTCCGTCAGTGCGATTAACAATCACCCGACTCAGCCATCCATCCACCCCATCCATCCATGCACCCAACAACATGATCCATCCAGTTTCAGCCAGTATCAGCCAATATCATCCAGTCTCAGCCACTATCAGCCAGAATCACCTAGTACCATGCATGAATCATACAGCATCACCATGTCAGCCAGTATCACCCAGTTTCAGCCACTACAAACCAGGATCAAGAAGTATCAGCCAGCATCATCCAGAATCAGCCAATGTCAGCCAGGCTCAGCCAATATCAGACAGCATGAGCCAGGATCTAAATTTTTGAAAGGCAGATACTGCAAGCTTCCACTCGAAAGGCACAACTTTCAGCAGCGAATGTTGAGGAGAGCCGAAATGTTTCCAAAACACCGAAACATTGACGGAGAATGGATGGAATGAGGAACGGAGGCATCCAGCATTGATTTTAAGATTCTGCAGCAATTAGTCACCAGTTCATTGTCAAGTCCAATGCTCAGATTCAAAGATATTATACTTGATTGTTGCAGTCTTAGGTTCTGGTATGTAAACCAGCATTCCAGGCTTCCAGCCCTGAACAGAGGTCCACGGCACGGGGGTAGGAGACCCGCCCCCACACCAGTCCCAAACCAACCCCCCCCCCCCAGGCCCCAGCCCCAGTTCCAAAAGCGCGGCCAACCCCAACCCCAGTTTCAAACTATGGTTCCAAAAAAAAACGTTTCGCTCAAAACTTTCGGTCGAAACGTTTCGGTCAGGTCAAAACGTTTCGGTCAAAACTTTCGGTCAAAACGTTATTAAATTGGGGCCCAAACCCTTAACAATTTCTATAAACCCTAAACCCTGAACCTGTTGCTTCTGCTTCGGCAGCTTCTCGCGGCCCGGGCTAAGCCCAGCCTGCAAACGCCTTCTTGCGTTCGTCGTCTTGGGGCGGTTGAAGGAACCGTCGTGCAAGAAGCTCGAACTTGCCACTTTTATCATCCACAATAGCCATATCTTGCCAGGGCTTGAAGATCTTTGATACTGTGGTGTATGTTTGGGAAGATCTTTCATACTGTGGTGTATGTTTGGGGCTGATGATACGATTCGTATACCCTATATGATACTGCAACGCACAGGGTCTGGGTGGTGGTTGCTTTGTACTGCCCTTCATGTTATTTATGCTTCCGTCGAAACTTAACTTTGGGCCCTGAGTCGTATCACTTCTGAGGATCTCGCGAGACAGGTGTGCCTGCCAGGGTGCGCCTGAGCAGGCTCGAGATGGCTCCACCAGACAGGCAATTACTAGGAGCTGCCCCCACCCTGTAATAGTGACTATAAGGATTATATTAGGGCCGTATTATATTCCTATTATACCACTATTACAGGGTGGGGGCCCCTTCTAAGAAATTACACTCAAACAGTTGTTGGGCATACGTACCCATGTGAAACTACAGCAAGCGTAGATAGCAACCATAGCGTAATGAATGAGGGCGTGGTGCTAAAACGTCTACTCACATGCCCATCCAAGCACGCACTTCCAAAATGTAATCATGCAGCTCAGGCCATGCCTCCTTCCCCAGTACATGGCCATGTAAGGCCGTTTGCCTCAACCTTGAGAACCTAGAATTCGCTGAGCTCTCATATAAGCGTGTTCTGCCAGCATGGAACATTTCGAAGCAATGCCGGCCCAGCCTCCTGGAAAGAACTCCGCACTTTGCCCCAAGCCAAGCTGCGCGCAGGGAGAGAAGGAACTAGGGCTGTTCGGCTGTAGGGTTTGGGATCGGGACGGACTCGGGGCGGCTGTTGCCTTGATGGTTGTGGGACTTAGGGCTAGGCTAGACATGGGCTGCAGTGGCTAAGGGTTTGTTTTGCAGGTCAGGATGATGCGTTGGAAAAACGGAGCTTCTTGAAGCTGGACAGGGACCCTTTAATTCGAATAACTTCGATGCCGCAAGAGTTGAGGTCAGTTGTTATACGGTTCGTGCTTGGGGTTTTAGGACCCTTTGAAAATGCCTGAAGCCGCACGCTGAGCCACGAATTGGGGTTGTAAAATCCGAAAACTGAGGAGTGCTGTAGACCTTGTCAGCATACACTCCCAACCTTTCAGGGCTGTGGTAAAATCAAGGCCGTAGCCATCAACTTGAACCCTGGGTGGTCATTGCGATTTTGGTACTGCCCCCTCGAACGGCAAGCCCTCAGTCTCGCTTCCGTGACACTGCGCAGCAGGCGCTAGAAACACACAGGTCGTTGTTGGTGTTGCTGCATCAACCACGAAACATGCAGATGTGCAACAGCAACAAAAAACACAAAGCAACAACACAAACACAATCCACAAATCTCGGGACCGCTCGGTACACTGCAATGCAACTAAAGACAACGTTGAACGGCAACTAGCACAGGGAAGGGAGACCTGTTGCTCCATCCGTGGATATGTTGCCATGCTCGCGAAGACGAAGTTGTCTCAAAACGATTGTATCAGCATATGCTTACGAGGAAGCAAGCGTTGCCAATCACCACGTCGTGGCGTCCTGAGTCCAACTCGCAGATTGCCGCGGCGCACACTCACTGGCGATGCCGCTCGTCCCCAAAACACAAAGGAGTAGTACATTCCAGCAGAACGTGTGGGTCTCATCTGTTGTATACCCAGCCTGCATTTTACATTACAGCACAAAAGTCACAAAACAAATATCACCAAGGAGGTGAGAAGGCCTCAATTCAGATCGTCTGCGTGTGTTAGTTGGGCTCCAACGTACAGAAGCTGTCGTTTGATACTTCCAAGTAGTAGGCAATAGCAACCTTGGGGCTTTATGGGCATTGGCAGCAGACTTTGGGACCCGGTGTTCAGGTTTTTGCTCGGGAATCGACACAAGCTGACAAAGTTATCCTTCACACAGCAGGTCCTTCTTCGTATCCTGTGTATCTGGTCCGACTTGCGGGATTCATGCTTTGAACAGGCGGAAGGTGAAATTCATATTTTGCGCGGAGTCCAAACCCCAGAACCATGAGACCTAAAGCCGCAACATGCAACCCCGAACCCCAAACCCGAAAGTTGAGGCCCTGAACCCCGACACCCGAAGATGGACACCCTGAAACCCGAAATCTTGATGCTCCACCCTACCTTGAAAGATTCAGCGCTGAATCTGAATCCAATTCCTACGCCCTGCAGCGGAGGAAGAAACCCCTTCAAAATTAAACTATGACCACACCAAAATGTCCCCCAAACCGACTGGTAGCATGATGATCTTTGTGTAAGGCTGCTGTATCAACCAGTGAGCACCTATCCTCAAAGCGCGCCCCGAAGCTCTGAACACTGAAATCCCACGCTCGAGACTTCGGCCAAAACCCTAGGGTGTAGTTTAGGGTTTAGGGTGTTTCGGCTGAGGGGCTAAAGGTCTCAGACTCAGGGAAAAGAGCCTTGCGTCGATGGGCTTCTTGAACTCAATCTTGTGCGTGGCCTTGCTGTGTTCGCTTGGTGCGGTCGTGGAAGTCTGCAGGAGGGCCACTGCTGAGAACTGCAGCCAATAGCAATAAGAATCATAATAATTTATGATGATAATAGTCATAATGAATAACGATAATGACAACAACAATAACAGTGTCAGTAGTATAGCAATATTCCTATGAGTAATCATAGTAGTATTATTCATATGCATATTCGTTATATTTTGCAACAGTATGCAACAGCAAGGTCAACAACTCTATTGGAAATCCGTAACGGCATACCCATAACAAGCATAGTAACATGAACCATTACAACAGTTCTTCCACAATGAGCTGACGGCTTTGAAGCGAAGGCCCTAGCTCGAATCCTAAAGCTTCGGAGAGAGGGATGAGAGGCTTAAGGTTTTGTGGTCTAGGGTAACAAAGAGGCCTTGATAATTAGGATAGGTTTTTTTCTGTGTTGCACAGAGTGATCGGAGCCGCTCTCCTAGCACACTGCCGCGAGTATTGGTTTCAATCGTCGTCAGAATTGTAAAGAAATGGTCCGAAGAGTGTGAGACGTAATGCTACGATTGCTGCCAGCCTTGATGCTGACGTAGACAATGGCTCTGACAGGTGGGGATGATAACGGCGATGGAACTTCTGCTGATGCTGATGATGGTCCTAGGGTTTCATGTGATTTAACCCTGGACCCTAAAACCCTAAACAACCCAAACCACTAAGCCCTGAACCTTTACCACCCTAAACTCGTAAACCCGAAACCCAAAAAAACCTACAACCTTAAACTGCCCAAACCACTAAGCCCTGAACCTCTACAACCCTAAACTCGTAAACCGAAACCCAAAACGCCCTACAACCCTAGACCTTAAAACCCTACAACACTAAACCCGAAGCTCTAAATCCAAGTCAGGGCCCCTGGCCACCGCTTTGCGAAGCCGGACGCTGTCTTTGTCATCCTTGCCGGACATGAAGGGCGATGCAGGCTGATGTAAGGGTGTCAGGTTGAGAGGAGCTTATGGTCCTCGTTTTGAGAGTGCGGCCGCGTCTTCAGTATGATCAATAGGCATCCGAATGTAGCCTACAGCAGCCTGGAACCCGATAACCCTATAACCCTAAACAAATCCTTAAACTAAGCCCCATAAGCCTATAAACCCTGCACCCCAAAACCCTAAACCCCTAAATATCCTAAACCCCTAAACCCCAAAACCCTAACCCCCACAAACCCCTACAACCCTAAACCCCTAAATATCCCAAACTTCTAAACCCCAAAACTCTAACCCCTACAAACCCCTAGAACCCTAAACCCCTCGTCTGCCAGACCCGGACCCCGAGAACTGGGCTCCAGATCTCCTGCTTCGCGCGGGATCTCGCGGGGGGGGGGGTTGTCAGAGGTCCTTAAAGGATCATGGGACTTAGTAACTAGGGTTCCTTAAAGGGTTCCTTAAAGGGATCTATAGGGTTTAGGGTTTAGGGTCTACTTAAAGGATCATGGGAGGACTTAGTAACTAGGGTTATAATTAGGGTAACTATACTTATAACCCCAATTAGGGCACTTATAATATATCTTTACTAAGTCCCAAGATCCTCCAAGTCTTCTTGTTGCAATGCCCTGGCTAGGACTTTTTTTTTCAGGGCTCCTTTTTGGGTTAGCCAGGATTACAGGGTTCAGGGCTTGGAGATACCTCTTCTGATTAATCTCAGAAGTATTTCAGATCTTCAGTAGGCTGGATACGGATCGAACGGAGGCTTCGTCTCGGTGCCCCGCGAGGCCGATGTGAAAGCCCTGTTCCAAGCCTAGCCAGAAAAGCCGAAGCCCCATACCCGAAAAGCCCTAAAGCCCCAATGAAAGGCATGCATATAACTTAGAAGGGGCCCAAACCCTGTAATATTGACTATAAGGATTATATTAGGGCCCTATTATATTCCTACTATACCACTATTACAGGGTGGGGGCCCCTTCTAACATATACCCCGTGTTGATGAACCCCAACCCCCTGACACCCTAAACAGCAAACAAAACCCAAGCCCTAAACCCTACAACCCCTAAATCCGAAAGCCCCAAAGCCCGAGAAAGACTAAAGGCCCCATCAAATAAGGGTCTTAATAATTAGACTGTAGGGTTGGGGTATATTATACTTTAATTTAATTGCTAAGAGGGAACTTGAACTTAGTATTGGTACATATGGGAGTTTCCGAAAATGGGGGACCCTAATATAGCACCCTACAAAGTAGGATCCCTAATACAAGGGAAAATTAAAATGACGTAACCGTGATGTTCGGAAACTCCCATATTTCGGCGCCTAAACTGTTGACCCATAGAGACGAGGGTCTAAAAGAAAGGGGCGGAAATAGTTACCAATACTGTTTTGAGAGTTTCCGAAAATAGGCGGGCCCTAAAATAGCACCCTAAATAGTAGGATCCTTATTATAAGGGCCCCAAATACGGTACCCCTAATTTCGGAAACTCCCAACCCCAAACCCCAAAGGCCCTCCTCCAACAGCTGCTTCTGGCACTCTCCGTTCTCGAAAACCTCGTCGGCCAGGCTAATCCTTGTCCAGAAGCACTGTAGGCGTTTTGGGTTTATAGGGTTATAGTCATATATTTGAGGCTTGTAGGGATTAGGGTCTGTAGGCTTCTCGGGTTTAGGGCTAAATGGCTTAGGGTTGTAGGGTGCATGGGGTTATCGGGGATCGTTTACGCTTGAGGGTTCTAGGGTTAGTTTGAAGTTGAGGTTTAAAGCTCAGGGCTATAGGGGCCTGCAGGATTCGATTCGGGTTCCTTGGCTGGGTGAATGTGACGCATAGAAAATCGATGCGAATCGCGCGACGGACCAATGAAGGAAACCGAATATCATGTCAAGCCCGACGCGATTCGTTTCACAGCTATTGCCACGCGTGCCACGGCCACGTTGGCTGTGATTGAAGATATTGAAACCGTTGAGAGGCTTTGGGCGACAAGTCCGATGCCGGACCCGGATCGGGCTTGTGGCTTACAGAAATGATGGCCGCTGGCAACGACTAGTCGATCATGATGATGACAATGACGGACACGACGGTGCTGAGGCTGATGCTGATGTTGGTGGTTACATCAGAGAGAAGAAATGGTGCTGCTAGTGATGGTGCCACAGTGATATGGACTTCAGGAAGGCCGTGGTAGCCTCCGCTACTTATAGAGGGCCTGAATACTTAGAGTAGGGCTTCTAGTTTTACACTATGATTAAGATGTATAGGGGCTACACAGGTATGCAATGTCAATCATTACTGTGGTAATATGACCCGGCCTTTGGGGGTACGTATACGAGAGGTGCTGCAGACACTCTAGACTTCAATGCAGTCTTGGATTGCGCAGGCTGCTGCTGTACTAGCTTAAATGTTGAATCAAACGATACTACCTTATGCTTGCTTAAACTGGCCTGTCATCTTTATCACCGCAATGTTTTAATGTCATCTTATATTTGTGCACGAACATTTAGGATCCTGGCCCGGGAACCTAATCCCGAAACTGCCCAAACAGCCCAAAAGACCCGCAACCCCTAAATCCTGAGCCCCATATCACAATACAGGCTGGGTTTCTCGCACACCGGCCCAGTCTTTGTTGCGCATCAAGGAATGCATCAGGAGGTGGAGGAGCCCGGCAAACTGCGAACGCAGCGCGCAAAGGGTATTAGTGTCTAAGGGTTTGGAGTTTTTTAATGGGGGCTTCGGGATTTCCTAGACCCTCCATCTACCCTCCATTAGACCCTAAATGCCCCCTATTTGGGACCATATACCCCTATTTGAGGGTACAAGGAGGGTCCTGGTTTCAAATCCAATTCCAACGTGGCAGGGCGACCCTTCGAGTACAGTTCCGACGGCCGTCTGGCTGTTTCGTGGTAGACGAAGCTGGATCAAACTATGAACTGGGCTATTCTGATGACAACAATAATAGTTATGATAATAGTTCTAATGGCGATAACGTATGATTAGTTAATAGTAATAGTTATGATAATACCACTAATTGTGATAATATACTATTAGTTAATAGTAGTGATGTGAGACAATGCCTGCGCAGGGCGCGACATGCACCTGATCTTGGGGTACTTCCGGAGTTGTGCGGACAAGGGTAGGCTTGGAAGCGTGGTGTAGGGTCTGTGTGGGTGGTTGTCAAATTAGAGTCGCTTTTTGGGTACCCTAAATATTAGGCGCCGTATTACAATAAGGACCCCAAAAAGGGACCATAATTTTGACAAGAACCCATATAAATTCAGGGCATGGATTCGAAGCTATTGGCTTGAGGACACTTCCGAACAGATACATTCTTGCATCGGCATCTTTTCGCCTGGGATACTTTGGGTTTAAGGGTTTCGGGTTTGAGGGTTTGGGGTTTAGGGGTTTAGGGTTTAGGGGGTTAGGGTTTAGGGGTTTGCGGTTTGAGGGTTTAAGTGTTTCGGGTTTGGGGTTCAGGGGTCTAGGAATTAGGGAGCCTCCGATCCAAGCGCGAGACTCCAGCAGAACAACTGTATGCAACCCGACAGGAATGCCCACAGAATCTCGGAAATACCCCGGCCCGTACATTATATATACCCTCATATATTAGCCCCGCTCTTTTAAAGAACCCTTGAAGGAACCCTTATCATCGGACTTACCTTTGGTTAGTAGGGATGGAAGAATGGTAGCAATAGTAGTGATAATTGTACCCCGTTCCTCCATTCCTTATACTAACCAAAGGTCAGCGGAGAGCACACAGGATCTGCCTCGGGCCGCTCCACCAGGTCGGGTGTGGGCGCCCGCCGCGGCTTCACGCGCGCGCGCTTCTGGTTCTGACGGCCAGGGCTCGATATAGGTTACATTGGTTACATGTTTAAAGGGTTTTAGGTTACAGGTGACATTTTCTAAAGGGTTTTAGGATTTAGGGTTTAGTTTTGGGGTGTTTGGGGATTTAGGGTTTATGAGTCTTCTGGGTGTTTGCGGCGTAGAACCCTAGTCGTCAAAACACTGCCCAGGCTTTGGAACAAATGTCGGGTGACTGCTTGGTACGCCTTCATCGTGGCACCAGTTTGGCGGCTGGTGGGTCCTACAAGTCTCCTCGGGCTCACGGAGTCCCAAACCCCAACACCTCAGACAGCAAACCCAGTCAGAGTGAACCACATCCTGACCCCAGCGCAGGAGTGAACCAAACCCTCATGAATCCTTGTTTTCAGGTGAGAACCCATCCCATAAACTGCAATTTCTATGTGGGTTGAGAGTTTCTAGATTTGGGGCTTTTGCAGGGTCGGGGATGAAGGCTCTTGCAAGGTCTGTGGCTTGTCCAATGTGGGTGTAGGATAGGCATTTCGGGTGAGTGCTTTTGGCAGAAAATATGTGGAATTCGGGTGGGTTGAAGGATTCTGGGCTTCTCAGTATGGTGTTTCGTTTCGGGAGGTTCAGAAGTGTCCGATCCTCGGCAAACGATCAAGCACGCAACTCTACGGGTTCGTCGTGTCAGCTAGGCACTGTATTCGGACAAAAGGCCTCGGCCTAGTCCCAATGTCTACTTGGAGCATCTCGTGAGCAAGCACTGCGGTCTAGCGGTTGGGATTCGCGGCCGGAGGATCACGTCCTCGCGGCTAGGGTTGTAGTAGAGACGAGATCTGTCTCGTGCGCTCCTCGTGTCATAATGTATGGATCTTTTAAAGTCTGATTCGGGTTGATATTCCGTACGTGTTGCACCTTCCGAATGATATTCTGGCCATCTGTCTACGCATCTACATAGTATGTACCCTGTGTCCATGTTCGCAGAACAATGCTTTTCAGATGCAGCTATCTTGCTGGCTTGTCTGCATGGCAACCTGCTGAAAATCTCGATGTAGACGAGAGCTCGAAGAACATCCATGCAAAGGCTTCCTGAATCACTGTCTTCTGTTTAGGATACCGGAAGTATGATGGCTCCCGCAACTACTCGTTGACATTCAAGCTGACAATCGGGTTTCCCTCGTCTGTGACTTCAAAGATCTTCCACCAGCTGCGCAGCATGACTCGTAACCAGCGCCAGCCACCGCCCAGTTGACGTGGTGCTTCAATTCGCTTTCCCGGCCCGATACATTGAACCAGCTGCGAGAAATAGATACTCCCTCGCTCCTCCACGAGCTTGTAGACTTGGAGAAGAAAAGATTGTTCCAAGAAGGTCCTGCGCGCTCATCTGTGGTCACCTGCACTCAGGCCGTGTATTCTTAACCTAAATGACTTCAGTGCATGGGCCGGAAGTCTATGAGACCACAATGAATACGGTCGAATCTCGAGATGCCCAAGGTGCTGCATGGTACGGAGCATCAACGACCTAGTAACATGCCAGGAACCATAACCTGTAAGGAGCATGCAAATCGGATGACGAAGTGCAATGCTCTGAATACCCTTCGGGACATCACTGACTATGCCGCATGAAAATGCCACAGGAAAGGTGGAAAGTCTTATGGTCTAGCTACGTGTGCATAGATAGTTTCCCACAATCCGTCGGATAAACCTTTGCCTGAGTAAAATGAACACTGTTGTTCGAGAAATTCATGCATATTCTTGGCACTGCGAGTGCAGCTTTGCTTCTGACGATCACCACTGCAAGCACAAACTTGTCACAGCATTGCCATCATGATGGTTGTGATGACGAACAAACAAGAATGAGTATGCTACTCATGCTGATATTACGCTGAGGATTCATGATGATGATGACGATGGTGATGATGTTGATGATGATGAAGGATATGACTGTGACGATGGCGACATATCAGATTGAAAGTCGAGACTTCTAGTTGCAAAGTGCCGTTCCCGCGGAGTTCTGACAAGGGAAGGATTGACAGCAGACATGCGAAAGCCAGGTTTCCTAACCCCCGCTTGTCGGCTCGAGAAGAGTTGCTTGGGAAGACCCCTTCGCCAGGCTCGAAAATCGCAGTAATCCCCGACCACCCTTTCTCGAAGGGTTGGAGCCGGAGCTTTCACCCTAAGCCACATCCCGCTCTAGGCCCAGGCTTCCGCTCACAAGCCAGCGCCCCAACACCTCTGTGCTGCAACTGCTCTCACCGGGTTTGGAGGGCATCGCACGGGGTATCTTGAGGGCATTGTGTGGGACGTCAGTGCACCCGCACGAGAACTCGCTAAGCCCGGGCGGGAGAAGCCACAAAAGTGTGAACGACGGCGTGGAAAGGTCTAGAGCAGATAAAGCGTATGCATGCGCATCGCACATGACGGCTTGTAGCTCTGACCTGCATGTTGTGCACATGTTGCGCTGAAGCTGACACTGACCATCTTGAAACAAGTGATATGATGTTGCAGACCGCTTTCTGTCTTTGCATTGGATGCCTTTTCAGACAGATACTAAGCGCATGTGATTAGTTGGTTCTATAGCTTCGACCCGCAGTGACAATGCAAACTGTATGAACTATGATTGTCCGAAAACACTCGACGAGCAACCTGGTCGCCTTCTAAAACAAAAGGAAGCGTGAGGCCACTCATTCAAGAGGTGCATGCTGGGTTTCGTAGCGGACTTGGGGATGTGGAGGTCCAAAGCATCAACCCTAAATCGCAAACCTCCTAATTAACCCCAGCGCCATAAACAACCATGGAGATGAAAGGTGGGTAAGGCTTAAGATAGAAGCGTCGGCCGTTTGGAGCGCTCATCAACTGCTCGCACTCAAATCCTAAGCCCTAAATCCTGGAGCAACAAATCGTTAAATTCGAAACGCCACAATGCATACTAAATGCATACATGCACTAATACTGGTACATTGACTCAGTCCGAAGCCCACACCCTGAAAATTCTAAATCTGATCTCAACACTGTTGTACGACCACACGGCTCCCGCCTGGCGGCGGGCATTCTCGGAGGCTCTTTGCGCAGCGTGCTTCGGGTTCGGAACAAGCCGAACAGGGGGGAGAGCAGGGTTCGCAGGGTTCCCTTGGTGCTTTTCACGGCCACTGGCATGTGCAATTGCTTCCTGGAGGCTTTCCAAGATGGTCTCGTTTCCTGGTGGCACGCGCACAGCTCCCAGCGCCGATTGCAAGAGTCGTGCTAATTCTTGCAGATGAGGCTCCGCAGCAAAGCCCACTTGCGATTCCACGTTCTCTGCAACGTCACGGCCGAGGCCCCCCGACAAGCCTTGAGCCGACAGCTTCTTCTGGCGGACCTGGTCCAGCTGATGAGGCGACAGTCCGTGTTCGTAGCCATGAACAGCTAAATAAGAATCGTTGAGCCGATCGCCCAGCCAAGCTGCCCGGGGGTCCGTTGCTTTGGTTTTCGTCCGGCGATCCTTGTCCATTTCTTCGGCTATCCGCTCAGCCAGAAGCACGGCTCGCTGCTTCTCAGGCGTTAGTGTCGACACCTGGTCTGTTAGGTAACTCTGAAACAACAACTGGACTTCGTCCTCTCGAGGTTTCAAAACCAATGCTGTCCTCGCTTCCGATGCGACTGAAGACTCCTCTACGTCAACCACGACCGCTGTGTTCAGTGATCCCAACTTAAATGCATTCCGATGGTGCTGCAAGAGCTTCATTTTCTTGATGTCCATCCATCGTCTGTCGTATGTTGAGAACTTTGTCTTGAAGGTCTTGTCCAGCTCATCAATCAGGGCCTCGTACAGCTCATGTACTCCACAGAAGCAAAGGCCATCTTCAAAAGTCGGACAATCCAAGGTGGAGTGAACCCCTTTGGTATGAAACGCACGTTTGAAGGAGTTAATGACGAACTTGGCATTCTGTACCCTTCTGTCAGACGAAATTGCTACAAGGGGAACGTCGAGGTCCTTTCTGCAAACGAGCTCAAACTGCTTGGAAGTCATGCCCAGCTGTGGGCCTTCGAAAGTAAGGGTTAGAGGATATGTTAGCGCGGTACGACACAAGTTGGCCGCTGTGCGCAAGCTCAAACCGTGGCTCCCAAAGAGCAGCCTATTCGTGTCCAGAGGGCTGTCAACCAATTCTGCCCCAACCTTCAGATTCGCATCGCTTGCTGCACCACCAGGTGCAACCGCCGAAACAGTGAACTTTGGCCCGTAGAGTGCTGGCTCCCACCTGAAGGTGATGTCTTCGCCGGGGTCTGCGTGGTAGGAGATTTTGCACGGCACCTTTGCACACATAGACTGGCGCACGATGTCCACCACGAGGAATTCCTTGTTGGTCCATTCGGTACGATCTGCACACTTGGCAAGCTCTTGCTGCTGTGCTTCCCACTGTTCTTGTGGGGTCTTCAGAGACGGGTCTTTTCTAAGCACCTCGTACAACTTTTATTTTTTTGATATTCACAGTTTTCTTCTTCAACTTCTGTAATGCGATCTTGTGCCCTCTGTAGTCCGTCTCGAGAATGGCAACAGCGTCTGGATTTCTGGACGAAAACTCAGCTGTCAACAACAGAGCTGCTGATGGTTGAGTATACGCTGCATGATGGGCAAACGCACGCGCTTCCAGGGACTCGTCTTGGCCAAGCGCGTCGTACAGCATCTGAGCTGCGCGGCGGTTGCCCGTCAGCAGCTGCGAATGCCAGACGTTGAAGGCATGAAACAGCTTGAGGCCCTCGTCTAAATGATTGATACGGTCTCGGCTCGCCGAGTCATACCGTCGCAAGTTGAGTCCATGCTTGTTTGTGGCGCTTCCTCTCAGCACGATCATATCACGGACGTACACGTGACCCTTGAATTCGGGACCGAGCAAAATGTCAGCATGCTCATTTGTCAGGACAGACGCTTCGTTGCACAGGAACAGGAAATCTCTTTCTTGGAAGGCAGCCTTCGCCAAAGCTGACATTGATACATGTATCATCGGCACATTTGAACTTCTGTGTCTCTTGCTCCGTACACGGCCGCGTGGTCACCTGCAAACACTTGATGTTGCGAGCCTTGGCAGCATCCGAAGTAGATGCCCAACCGAAGCTCCACTCATGACCACTGGAGTAGATCTTCATGTGCACACCGCTCTGCCTAGAGAGGACGCAGATGGCCGACTGCAAGCCATCCCCGAACTTCCCTCGGCGCTCTCCCTGGAGCTTATCCTGCCCAGACCAGCCATCAAACAACATCTCTATTTGCATCTGATCGGAATAGTTTTTGAGCTGAAGATCCCAGGTCTGATTTCGAGTCTTTCCTTCTTGAAGCTCCAAAGATGCTAACAGAATGACCTCGGAGCCTTGGGCAACGTAGAGCTGATAGGACACATGCTCTTTCCCTTCATGGTCCCGTTTGTGGGATTTTGAGACCTGGATATCGCCCGGTGAATAAGAGGAGCGCTCTGCAGCTGCATCGGCCTCATCTTTCCAATTTTGAACGATCTCGGCCACAGCTGCGGACTGGTTCCACGTAGGGCATCGGTTCTGAGTATAGTTCATCTCACGAAGCTCCGCCTTCATCTCTAGCTGACCATGGTTCGGGCGACGTGTCGGTTTCAGCGAGGAAGCAATGGAGCTTGATTTCCTTGAGCCAGGCTCCCTCAGAACTCCAGGCAAAGTCAGAACGACTCCACTCCTCCCAACAGCTCAAGCTTCCCGCCCAAAGATGCTTCCGAGCATGCGCAGGCGTGTTGGAGTACTGCACTTGCCCAAGTGGCAGCTTCACCCGCAAGTAGTGATCCCGCTCATGCGCAGGGCCCTGCTGCCACACTCGTCCAAATGCGAAACTTTCGGCGTCGAAAGTCATGACTTGCCATGGTGCCTGCTGTGCAGGAGATTTGGTCCAACACAGGCTGCCAGTGGAGAGCCCTGACTTGCCGTCGAAGATGTAGAAGCCGTTGTATTCAGGAAATTGGCTGACACCGCTCAATTCCACCACTTTTAGCCAACATCCCAACACTGACATCAGAGCGCATGCGAGGGTGGCAACATAGGAATGGTGGAACTACCATGTCTGCGTGCAGGCTACACTTGCCAGCCACTTTTTCCCTGAAGTTGGTAGACTTACGGCACAGCCTGACAAGCTTGCCGACCATGATCCGAACCGGCCGTTCATCTCATTGCTAAATAAAGTGTGCTACAGCTAACATATTCCAGTCGTGAGAGTACAGAACTCAGACAGAGAGCCTCGACAGCTGCCGATCGTGACGGAAATTTGGCAGCAAGGGATTGAAGTTGGCATCCCTAGATCCGATGGTGGGTTTGCTGTGCTCTTCACCATTAATTGCTTCATCAAGGGCGGCAAGCACATCCTCCCAACGATCTCGAGTTTAGGGTCGCAAACCCCGTAATTCAAGAGCCTCGGCCACATTCAGCATCGATCCTGCGCTCATCTGCGGCGCAGGCGCAGCACGCGAGACCGGGCGGGACTGCAGGTGGCAGAAGGTTGCGGGTTTTGTAGAAGATGTTGAGTTGAAGCATGGGTCATGTCGAATAGTATCGAGTTTCCAACATCATGGCCGCTATCAGGATTTGCAGAGGTTCGGGCAAAGAGTTTGCTGAATGGTACCGAGGAGTAAACATGACGACGAGGATCATCGCAAGCCTTTGATAGATATTGCTCTTATCGTTGCTGTTCTATACGATGGGCTCACCACCCGGAGTGTGAAAAACGAACACATGCATGAGTATATGTGTGCTTAGAGTGGACTTGTGCTGTTTAGGTTTCAAGAACTAGAGCCGGGGTTTGGGCACCGGACACCAAATTAAATTAGGGATTATAGGGCAATACTGTTGCGAACGATTCCGACCCCTGTGTTGCTTCAACTAGCTTCACTTTGCAGGACACCGGGGCGCTACTTTCGCATGCGTTGAGCGACGAAGCTTCCAATCCACTAACTGCGATTCAGTACCCTCAACTTCACCAACTGTTGTTGCTACTGTTGGTGATGCAGGCTGCGAGAGATACCGGCAACATCAGTTCACCTTTCCACCAGTCTTGGTCAAAGCAATCCTTGTACGCAGCTGGGGCCCCGATCTATGCTTAGCAGTCTTCGACCTGACACTCAAGCTATGTCTGCCTGAAATGTAGACCCCTGCCACCACAAATTGGAGGCCCATTGTGTTAGTTTAATCTTCTCAGCCATCGTCCTTTGAAACTCGCTAGTCCAGTCGCTTGTGTAAGTGAAGCTGAACATGGATAAACAATCGGGGCTCGACTTACTTTGTCAAGACCCTGAGTAGTAACCTAGACCCTCTATCTACCCTCCATTAGACCCTAAATGCCCCTTATTTTGGATCATATACCCCTATTTGAGGGTACAAAGAGGGTCCTGGAATCACGGCCATCATTCCGAACATCTCAGAGCCCAAACAACTCCAAAAGCCAGGTCCCAAAACCCAAACACTCCTGTTTCCAACAGCTTGGAACCCCTCATAATAAGGATCGTACTATTTAGGGTACTGTATTCGGGTCCCCTATTTTCTGCAAGCCCCATCTTGCATTATCTTCTGCCCGGAGGAGAAGCCGACTGCATCAGTCACTGGGTCGCCAACCAACCCTCCAAGCTTCTCCTCTTCCAGCTCCTGGCACGAGTTGGGAGTTTCTGAATATTAAGAGTACTTTTTTTGTGTCCTTAAAATAAGGGTCCTACTGAATCCTACTATTTAGGCTACGATACTAAGGCCCCCTATTTTCGGAAGCTCCCATGTGGGGTTTAGGAGTTTAGGGCTTGGGCTTTGTGTAGTTCGGGGTTGAGGGCTTCGGTCATCGAAGCCCTAAACCACCCTAAAACCCTAAACCTAACCCCCCCCCCGATTTCCTGGGGCCCCTCGGCCCAAACCCAGAAAGCCTTGAGACCTTAGGGTTTAGGGTTCGCAGACCCTCAAATTCATGCCTGCATCCCGAAGCCGAAACCATCAACGTAGCTAGGGGGCGTGGGAGTGGCAGCGACAGTTGTTCGAACGGCTATCAATGAGCCATCGAAGGGTTCTACGTACCTCGGGGTAAGGTGTAGGTTTAGGATTTGGGGTCCAGGCCATGAAAAAGAAAAAGCACAACATGAATAGTCGTGATCGCACGAGCCATGCTTGCTCAGGCTGTTTTAATTATGCACGGCTCTTGGTCAGGGTCTTCCCTAAACCCTAAACCCTAAACCCTTGCTTGATTGATAAATCTGTCGGTGCCAGTATCGGAACTTGTGGCTTAGGGCTTCATTGGCGTCAGGTCCTGTTTGGAGTTTTGGGGTTAGGGTTTAGGGTTTAGACTTTTAGGTTGAACGTTTAGGGTTCAGGGTTTAGAGTTTACAAGTTGTAGGTTTGGGGTTCCGAGTCCCGAGGTCGGAGGCCCCAGGTCTGGAACATCGTCGACATGGCTCCTTTGTTAGCTTGGCCGGAACCGGAAGCCCTAAACCCTGAATCCCACTCAAACCCTGAGGGGTGGCAAAGAGCTGTGTAAGGGCTCCGTACCTAGGGACCGAACAAGTCACATAAGCATAAGCATTTTGTGGGGATATCCCTACCTCATGGGCTTCCTTTTAAAGGGGGTTTATATGGGACATCCCTATCCTAATTTTGCTTATGTGCTTCTTTGGGGCCCTAGTACCGTCCATTGCGGCTCTAACAAAGAAGATTTCGGATCTAAGGGCTGCTGGGTTTGGCCGTAGTTGCTGATGTTCTAGGCCTTTAGGGTTTAAGATCACAGGGTGTATGTTGGGCTTAAGATCTTACGGTGCAGGGTTGAAACTCCTAGGGTGTAGGGTTTAAGACCTTATGGTGAGGGTTTAAGATCTTATAGTCTCAGGGTCTAGGGTTACGGATCTCGAATCTCAGGGTTTAGGGGCCCCGCTCTCCTGAAACCACCTCTTGTAGGCTTCCTTCAGAAGATCGGCCGCGCCAAAGAAGTCACCTGCGATGGCCGACATGTGAAAGTATGGAGGGTTTAGGGTTCAGGGTGTAAACGGTTTAGGGTTTAGGCTTTTCGGTTTAGAGTTTCGGGTTTGGGTTTACGGTTTAGGGTGTTGGGTTTAGGGAGGGTTTCGGGCTTGCGCTTATTGAATGGCGGGAGAGATACATTACGCAGTTATGCTCGTAGCAACATCAGTGACACAAAAACAAGTCAAAGAGTCAAAACAACGCGGAAAGCGGAATTTTGTTGTCATTAATAATATGAACATGAACTGACACGATGATATGATGATATTACATGATGTTCATACTCGTGACAACTCTAGGAGTCAGGATGCCTGCGATGCCTACACT